ATTAGTTTCTTGAATATGTACAAAAAATTATTTAAAAATGTCTTAATATTAAGATCCCTTTATCATCACAGAATAAAGCTAATAGTATAAAAATATTGGCCAAAGCTGATCATACTCTGCTGCTTTTAAAATACAGATCATAGGAACCCACTTTCTGCCATCAAAATATCAATTGTGGCCCTGGCCGGTTTGGCTCAGTGGATAGAGCGTCAGCCTGCGGACTCAAGGGTCCCGGGTTCGGTTCCGGTCAGGGGCATGTACCTTGGTTGCAGGCACATCCCCGGTGGGGGGGTGTGCAGGGGACAGCTGATAGATGTTTCTCTCTCATTGATGTTTCTGGCTCTCTATTCCTTTCCCTTCCTCTCTGTAAAAAATCAATAAAATATATTTTTTAAAAAATTAAAATATCAATTGTGCCCTGGCCAGTGTGGCTCAGTTGGTTGAACAACATCCTATGCACAAGAAGGTCACCAGTTCAATTCTTGGTCAGGGCACATATCCAGGTTGTGGGTTCGATTACTGGTCCAGGTGCATGCAGTAGGCAACCAGTCGATGTTTCTCTTTCACATCAATGTTTCTCTCTCTTCCTCTCCCTTCTTCTCTTTCTAAAAATCAATAAGAACTTATTTTTGCCCTAGCTGGTTTAGCTCAGTGGGTAGAGCGTCAACCTGTGGACTGAAAGTTCCTGGATTCAATTCTGGTCAAGGGTATATGCCCAGGTTGCAGGCTCTGTCCCCAGTAGGTGGCGTGCAGAAGGCAGCCAATCAATGATTCTCATCATTGATGTTGCCATCTCTCTCTCCCTCTCCCTTCCTCTCTGAAATCAATAAAAATATATATTAAAAAACAAACAAACAAACCTATTTTTAAAAATGTATCAATTGTGCTTTTATGATTTATAAACTCCATAACCAATAAGCTATGGTGTTCAGTTCAGTATGGTCAGCAACTTGTGATTAGAAAACTCTCCCCTTTTTCTAGAAACCTCAAGTAGCTTCTACTTCCTGACAAGGTTAAATTCACGCCCAACTTACAGGAGGGAGGGGAGTGGAAAAGAGGGCTGTGTAGGCACCCAGGCAGGCAGTGCAGTACGGGCTGTGGGTAACTGCTTCTTTCCATTGTGAAGAGTCAAAGGAGGGAAGCAAGGCCCAAAGATGTTCCTGAGACTTTAATTACTGGTATCAAAAGTTAGACCCTGGTGTTTAGATTCCCCTACCTTTTATTCCCCCACTGTTCCTTTGAAAAGAGAACCATACTCCAGTCTTCCCTGTCTTGCTCCAGGTACTTCCAGGTTGCAGAAGAAAGTGCTCTCTTCTGATCGGGGGTCCCAGAAAAGAGCTTTAACCTCCTGGGTGCGTGCTTTCTCCACCTAAAATCTCCAGCTAGTTACCACAGCAAAGTGACTGTGATGCACACGCTCTCTAAGTAACAGTCTGAATCTTTGAAATGGGCTGTGACCAGAATTTCAAATCAGTCTAGAAAGACAATTTCATCACTGAAATGCATCTACTTTGATTCCCTTTGCAGTTTCGTGGTAATATTTCAGCACCTGCAATGTTTTAAAATTTCATGGCACAGCTTTATCCGCGAAGAAGAAATGAAGTATCAGATGTTATTAAAACCCCCTTAACACAGTCAGGAAGAATGAAGGAGGGCACCAGAGCACAAATCAACATAATGACTCTTTTATTTCATTCGTTTAAATGAAATGTCTTTCTCTAATGGGAGAGACATTGTCAATATTAAAATGAGCATTTACACGGAGCTTTCATTTTATACTCTGTAATTACTTAGCATGCTATCTACACTACAGACCTGCAGAATGTGTTTATAATTTAAAAATAACTTATTGAGACAGAGAAGGCAAGGTTAGGTGCAGTGCCCAACACAGTGAACATGGTGGTTAAGTGCCCTGCAGAAAGGCTGGTCCGAGACCCATTTCTAGCTGCACCACATTATGTAACAGCTTGGATCCCTGAGCCTCCTCCTTGATAAAAGATGGATAACAGTACTAATTCACTGTTGAGAGGATTAAAGGTAGAGAATAAAACCAAAACGAACAAGGCATCTTTATAGTACAATTCCTAACATACAGTGATTGCAGCGAATGATTATAAAATTATTGTATGAGACTTTTTTTGTATGACACTCTTAAAAAAATATATATGTATATTTCTACAATCTCAAGAGTCACTCTTGTTCTAAACATAAGATCAAGTTACCAAAAAATATTCATTTGAGTACAAAAACATGCTCATAAGTAATCATTCTTCATCTGAAACTGAAATAAATAGGTGGACATTAGTCAACTATAACTTTTCAACAGACTCCATAAATCAGATGGGATAAGGTAGTCAGAGCAGAAAGAAGAGCACTCCGGACAGACCACAAGCAATGAGAGATACAGTGCTACTAAAAACAGGAGCTGTGATAACGGAAGGTTTTTTTCTTTAAAAAAAAAGCATGACAGCCCTGCCGGCATGGCTCAGTGATTGAGCATTGACCTATGAGCCAGGAAGTCATGGGGTTTGATTCCCAGTTAGGGTATATGCCTGGGTTTCGGGTTCAATCCCCAGTGAGGGGCGTGCAAGAGGCACTCAATCAATGATTCTCATCATTGATGTTTCTATCTCTCTCTCTCCCTCTTCCTTCCTCTCTGAAATCAACAAAAATATATTTTAAAGAAAAAAGCATGACATTTAGTATAAGAGAACATTTATTAGGTTCTCAACCCTGAAATAAAGGCCTTAACTTTTTAACAAAGTTATACCAGGTACTTTAAATGCAGTAATATATTAGACCCTCACAATTTAAGATATGCATAATTCAGAAAGGATTAGGTAGGACTAATAAAACTAATAATGACAACAGCATTGACTGTCATAGAGTGAGCCAATTATGCTCAAACTATTTTGTACAGGTTTTCTTATTTAGCCTTCACAATAAATCAGTGAGGAGAAGAAAAAACAAATAGTCACCCCCCATAAAAGTAAACTTAACACTCAGGAAGATTACGTAACTTGTCCATGGTTACAGTAAGTGACAGAGCAGAGATTTGAACCCAGGGCTGTTATGACTTCAAAAACCAATATTCTTTCTAACCAGAACATTAGGACACTGAACTATATGACCTTGAAAATGACCTGTATACCTAGGACCTAAAATTCTCTTTTCTAATGGGTTACGACTACACTTGAGCATATTAAGCTCCAAGCCCCTGCCCCTCCAGCAACTCTCTAATCCTTAGTCCCTTCAGGGAATAAAGCAAGAAAGGAAGAAACAGAAAGGAAGGGAGAATCACTTCAGGTTAAATCTTTCAGACACAAAGGGGTGATCCTAGGTTATGGTGAGCACGAAGAAGGCGAGAGCGCGAGGAAAGGGAAGAGCGCGGACTGGCTATTGGAGAAGAGCTCCCTGACAACAGCACTGAGACGCTGGGACACATTATCGAAGAACATTACGTAGGATAAGCTGAAGAAATACAACCCCGAGGAAGGCTGTCAACACGAAAATCGTGTCAACAGACACACAAGATGGGGAAGGACCAAGATAGCCTGCTTGGCTCCGCCTCTCACTTATCATCTGAAACAGAAAAGAAAAACCGGAACGCGGCAAAACGAGCCTGACAGCAGCAGTCAGGAGGCTGCACTTCCGTTCTGCCTGAACACAAGTTAGCAAAACGCAAACCCAAATATCGGGGCCACATTCCTCAGAGGGCTCATCAGTGCACAGGTCCCATTTTACGCTCTCCTTCCATTCATTCCCCATTAAGACACAGCATCTCCGTTTCCTCTGCAAATCCCTATGCATACCGGCAAAAGAAAATGAAACCCACGTTGTGTTAGTTTCTTAAGTGTGTGTTGGGAGAACTCTGAGTGAAAAACATCACCCAGGTACCAGTAACTTCGTTCTGGGATCAAGAACAAAACAAAAAGCCCCCACATAACTCTGGTGGAATTGTCAGACCCAGGAAAGTACAGAGTTTCACAGCCGTACCCCTTCTCTCACCACATGGAATCACCCACAGGCAAAGACCCACAGCTGACTGCCTTAGGACAGCCACCCTCAACCCGGTGCCGAAAGAGTATTTAACAGATGCAATACCTGACTCTTTGGTCAGGAGCAATGACCTCTTTCCCTGACCAGTGGTTCTCAGCCTTCTGGCCCTTTAAGTACAGTTCCTCATGTTGTGACCCAACCATAAAATTATTTTCGTTGCTACTTCATAACTGTCATGTTGCTACTGTTATGAATCGTCATGTAAATATCTGCTATGCAGGATGGTCTTAGGTGACCCCTGTGAAAGGGTCGTTCGACCGCCAAAGGGGTTGCAACCCACAGGTTGAGAACCGCTGCCTTAGACTGTCAAATAAAAAACAATAGTAACAACAGCCAATACAACAATAACTGTCCTGTGTGAATAAATCAAAATTATACCTATTTTTTTGTCAGATCGGCAAAAAAAAAATTTTTTTGTTGTGCCACACAATTTTAATAAATATTTTATGTGCCACGAGGTGAAAAGGCTGAAAACCGCTGCCCTCGGGAGCTGCAGAGTCCTAACAATTTCGTTTCTCCCTTTCTACTGTCAGCTGAGTTGTGACGTGAGCCTTTACTAATCTGTAAAAAATGAAAAGTCTACATGTTCCTGGTAGTAACAGGACTCTCTGACTTTCATTATGAAAAGGAATGTTTCTTTTAGGATAATTATGTATTATCAGGACAGAGGGGGAGAGGGGGGACTTCCCATGAAAAAATAGGCTCAAGTCAGCCAAGTTACTGCTTTTGTATTCTTTCCTGCTATTCTCTACAGCACTGCCACCCTAAAGAGATGGAAAGTCTTGGCCTCTGGTCCCACCGACACCTGTTCCTTTTACACAAAACAGAAAAGACTTCTGACCATGTGTTATTCGGTTCTAACAATACAACCCCATGGAAACACAGCAATTGGGAGCATGAGTACTTGTTTCCGGGAGACTCAGAGTCTAGGCAAGACCTACCTTGTGAGTAGAGAAGGATCTGCATCTCTAGAAGGACGCAGGTGAACAGCTGCACCAGGTTCTCCAACCCCAGGAGCTCGAAGGCCTCTCGCAGAGGGTAATCGGAGAGGGGGAGTTCATTGGGCCCAGGCCTCTGGCATATGACAGGTTCATAAACACCATAAAATTTCAGCGATCTCCCTGGCGGTGGGAGGGGTACCTCATAGAGAATATTATGGATGTAGCTCTCCAGCGGCAAGGGTGGTGGCTGCTGCGAGGTAACTGCTCTGTAGAGCTGGAGGAGGAAGTTCTTGCAGGCCTGCATGAAAGGCAGTGGTGTGATCAAACATATGCTTTTGGAAACATACAGGGTGTCTCTGCTGATGTCATAGGAGTTGTATCGCTGGAGTTTCAAAAGAGAAGTTGTGTCCCCCTCGTCAATGCTGCTGGCCAGCGAGTCCATGCTGCAGGAGGAGGAGGCGTAGACGCTGCTGTAATGCTCGGCGTTGTGCATCTGGTAGAGCGTCTGCATAGCTGTGCAGATCTGCTTACTTGTAACTTCTTCATAAAAAGTGAGAACAAAACCGTAGGTGCGAGAACCATCTTCCCGCGTGATTATAAACGAGTGGAACTGAGGGTCTCTGTTGTCAGTCTGTGTTCTGAAAGACAGCCCTTTCGGCATGCACAACTGTGGAGGAAGAGGGGAAGCATCAGAATGCAGTGCGCGAATAACTTCAAACCAGAAAAAGACAATGTTCGAGAACCCCTATCCCATCTTGTGACCTTCAGCAAATCATGTAACTTGGTGGTTCTCAACCTTGGCTGAACATTAGAATCACCTGGGAATCTTTTTTAAATCCTGATTTCTGGGCCTCGTCCTCCGGAAATTCTGTTTCTTTGTTATGGAGTGGGGCCACAACATTAGTAACAAAGAAACAGAATTTCTGGAGGATGAGGCCCAGAAATCAGGATTTAAAAAAGATTCCCAGGTGATTCTAATGTGCAGCCAAGGCTGAGAACCACTGATGTAACTTCTCTGAGCCAGTTTCTTTATCTAGAACATTTGCTACATCTGTGACTTGAAGACAAAATACTCAAGGGCACTTTACAGATATTTAATATTTAAGTACTATTTTTAGAGTAGTGATGATAAGGTTTCAAAGAAATAAGGAAATAGATGAAGGCTCACTTGATAAATATGGAATAATAAGTTATTTTATCTATTTTGAACAATATGACACTTCATCCTTGAAAAATACACTTTGAAAGTGGAATGATTTTTGATTTACTGAAGCTGAAGGGGAGAAACCAGACATTTCAGATTATTTCCAGTAGAGATTGTGCTCTGGGTCTTGGGAACTACTCAGGATTCAGTCAAATTTGGGAATAAATTACCTGAGGAGTTAAAGATGTTATATTTAAGATACTTAAAATGCACAAGAAATTAGAACTGAGTCTTTAAAATTCTTCTAAAAATATTTTAAGTAAAAGAAATGAAACAAATTATAGAAAATTTGAAATACACTAAGAAAAACAGAACTTATAATTCAACTACCCAAATAGAATCATTAATTTTTATATATTCCTTTTTACTTTTATATTTCAATATGCTTTCTGCATAGAAATAATTTTATCATACATTTTTACATTATATTTTTCTTTCCTTTTTTCAGGCTTGATCACTGATGTGGGTAAAAGTGAGAAGTTCCCCCAAAGCCATCCCCACATTACCAAGAAAACACAATTTGCCTGAAAAGTTACCTGTACTTTGGTCAAACTGTCAACAAACACTTGCTAACTGCCTTTATGAGCGAGGCCCTAGATGGTGACAGGATGGTGAGAGAGACAGACACAAGTCAGTACCTGCTCCTGTGGAGCTTCTAGTCCAGTAAGAATGACAGATGATTTAAAAAAACATAAACAATAAAGTATGAAAAGTACTATAACAGGGTCAACACAGGCTGTTATGAAAAAAAAAAAAACAGCAGAAGGACATAAATGAGAAAAGGGGTAGAGGAGGAAGAAAGAAGAAAAAGGAAGAAGAAGAAGAAGGAGGAGGAAGAGGAGAAGGGGCGGAGGGGGAAGGGGAGGGGGAGGGGGAGGAGAAGAAGAAAAACCAGGCAGAAACCTAAGCATAAGTACAGGTGTTAGTGAGATAAGGAGGCAGAAAGGACAACAGGTGCAAAAGCTCGGAAGACAGAAGACAAGACAGAAGACGGGGGTCTGAGGAACGGAAAGTCATTGTGGGTGGGGAACAGGATGCAAGGTGAGGGGAGGGGAGAGAGGACGCAGGAGAAATAATTAGGGGCTGGGCCATGAAGGGCTTTGGTGAGTCACATTAGAAGTCTGGAGAGGGCAACGGAAGCCTCTGAAGGTTTATAGCAGGAGGGGGACAGAATTAGATGTGCCTCTGGGCTCATCAACCTTCCTGCTCGGAAAGGCAGCGGTTTTCAAAGGGGTCCCAAGGAGGCGGCAAGAACGCCTCAGAACCTTGGGGTCATCTCTGACTTCTCTCTCGCTCACACCATTATCCAGTCCATTAACAAGGACCACTAATGCTACCTTCAAAAATATATTCAGAAACGAACTAGCTCGTTCTATCTTCACTCTTACTACTCTAAGTCACATCTTCTCTTGCCTGGTGACTATTTAACATTCTGCTAACCTGTCTCCTGCTTTTGCCTTTGTCCCCCATAATCTAGTCCCCATATGTAGCTAAAGTGATCCTTAAAAATGTTACATTTTGTCACACTTCTCAAAACCCTCCAATGGCCTCTCATCTCGCTAAAAACTGAAATCCTGCCCCACATGACTTGGCCCCAGCAACTTCTCTGCCTTCATCGCCCACTGCTCTCTAGCTCACCTACTCTGCTCCAGCAACACTAGCCAGATTGCTGTTCTGTGACACACCCAGCCTGCTTTTGCCAAAATTTGCTATTCCCTCTGGCTGCAATCTTCTTCCCCTAGGTATCCACATGGTTTGTCCCTGTAGCAGATTGTATTTCTAAAAACGGCTCTCAATTTTTTCTAGTTCCACATGCTCTTCCAGAACCTTGCCACTCTCCCAGCAAGTCTGGGTGGGCCGTTGAGAGTGCCAACATCAAGGACCCACCGACGTTTTTTTGTAAAGATTCAGATGAATATTTTAGGGTCTTCAGGCCACATGGACTTTGTTACAATGACTCTACCACTGTAGTGTGAAAGCAGCTGTTGGCAAGATGAAGGAATGGGTAAGACTTTGAGAAGGGCAACCCTGCCAAACCCTATCTAAACTGTTGATTTATAAGCAAAATAATAATCCTGTTTTAAATCAACAAACTACAGCCTTTTGGCCTGTAAGTAAAATGTTACTGGAACACCATCACACTCATCCAGTCCAGCACTCTCTACGGCTGCTTCTGCACGACCATCTCTCTCTCCCTCTCTCTTTCTCTCTGAAATCAATAAAATAAATATATATATATACATACATACACACACATTTTTTTTTTTTAAAGATTGTAGGAAGAATGATTTGAAACACTCTAGGCCCAGGCTAAACTAAAGCTTGTTTAGCATAATGCATGGCACATTTGTTGAATGAATAAATTAATGAACAAGAAAACAAACAAAGACAATAGCTGGGGAGAACAGGACCAGACCGACTTCATCTCCTGATTCAGTCTGTAGTTATCTTTTTACCTCAAGTAGGCCATAAAGAAACATAGTGACCTCTAAAGTCAACGTAAAGATTTAATTTAATCAATAGGCTTTCCTGACACCAGAAACCACAAAATTACAGCTTGAACTGTTCCTGAACAACTGCCAAATATTCCCTTAAGGGTTTGTAGCTTTCTTGAGCACACAGTCAAACATTTATAGAGAAAGCTTGCCAGAAGTTGTGCTCAAAGTAAAGAATGACTTTTTTATGCTACATATAACAGATGTTAAGAATTCTTAAATTCTCTTCCTACAAATAAAAAAAAAGTAAGAATTATATTTCTAATCTGAGAACCATGAACTGGAAAATGCTATTGCTTTTTCATTTTTAAAAGTAAGAATTGTTGCTCGGCCGGCTCGATCCCCAGTGGGAAATTGGGGGGGAAGTGAGGGGGGGAGGAGCTAGCCGATCAATGACTCTCTCTCATCATTGATGTTTCCATCTCTCTCTCCCTCTCCCTTCCTCTCTGAAATCAATAAACAAAATATTTTTTAAGTAAGAATTATTATATGAATTGTCAGGTTTCTTTATTGAAATTTTTAACTTATTTATTGATGAGAGAGAGAGAGAGAGAGAGAGAGAGAGAGAGAGAGAGAGAGAGATTGAATAAGTCATTATTCCACTTATTTATGCATTCATTGGCTGATTCCTATACCTGCCCTGACCGGGAATGGAACCTACAACCTTAATGCATTGGGAGAATGCTCCAATCAACTGAACTACCCAGCCAGGACATCAGGTTTATGTTTCAGAAAATCTGAGATAGAAATCAAGATACTCACTATGGCATTCAACAATCTCTTGTTACTCCCTAATATTGATATATACTAACAATACCCCCTGCCCCACACCACTCTCTCACAATAAAACAACTATTGCCCAGATTGCCAGTGGAAATCAAAATTAATTTAGCAAAAATGGGCTCACAATGTTGTGTACATCTCCTGGTTTGATTGACCAAATGTCCTTATTGTCCCTCTGGACTCTTTAGGAAGTTTGGCTAGAATTTTAGTAATTCCTCTTTCTCTTTTCCATCATTCTATGATTCCTATGCCCTCTCTCTTATTACCCAAATAAAAGAGAAAATTACTCAGAAAACTCTGAAAGAGTTGGTCAGTTTGCTTTGCTTCCTACTTTCCTCCTCTTCCTCCTTCCTTTAATATTATTTTATAACATGTATTGCATTAGACCTTAATAACTGAAAGACAAGTATAAAAATAATTCCTACCTCAGGGAGCTCACAGTCTAACAGGAAAAAAAGGCATAGTGTAAACCAACAGTTACAAAATGATGTGATCAGTGCTGCTATGGAGTATGTTCAAGATTTATAGAAATAGAGAAGAGAAAACACCTAACTATGGCTTAAGGGATGGTTTTGCACTAGAGATGACATCTGAATAGACAAGGATGGGGAAGGGAAGTATTGTAAGCAAGTAAACGTTCCTTCATTTACTCAGTGATGTGAATCCCTGCAAAGTGAGGGACACAGCAATGAATGAAAGTGTTCCTGGCCTAGTGGTGAGATGCAGAGTTATAGTAGGAGACATAAAGTTGACAACTAACTACATAATAATTAACTGCAGTTGGGATAAGTGCTACAAAAGGTACAAGGTGCTAAGGGAACCTGACTGAATGTTGGGAAGGTGGTGGAAGGTGGTCTAAAATGGCTTTTTTGAGGGAATCACATTTAAGTTGAAGTCTGAGGGGTCAATAAGAATTTACTATGTGAAGAAGAGCTTTTGAGAGAACCAACAGCTTAGGCGGAAGCTACAGTGTGAGGAACGGAAAGGACAGGAGCAGGAGTCCAGGTAAGAGAGCTTGGAGGTTTGGACTATGATGGGTGTGTAGAAACAGAGAGAGGTAGATACATAACTGACTGCCTAGGAGGGAGGGTGAAAAAGTGAGAGCTTTCAAGGATGATACTAGATTTCTGACTTAAGTAACTAGGGAGATGGTTGGACTGACCAAGGTTGGTGGGAAGATTGTGAATTCAGTTTGGATGTGCTGAGTTTGAGATGGCAGTATGATAGTATTGCTGTGATGTTAAGAAAACAAGTGAGCTACCCCAGTAATGACTGGATTAGAATCCCATTCTTATGAGTTTACTGTGAGACACAAGCTTAAACTTGGGTTAAAACGAGTGCTTACTTTCATTCGAATGTCAAACCTATTAATGTAACTAAGGGTTATCCATTTCAAATCCTTGCTGAGTCTGTAAAGCATATATAGTGCCCTTTTCTTTTTGAATCTTGTAAGATAGGCATCTGAATAGGTTTTTTTCCAGCCAATCCTTTACTCTTTGCTCATTATTCCATTCCACCCTTCTTCGTTATTAAAGTAAATAATAAATTGTAAACTTAGAGCTTTACAGATTGTAAACTTAGAACTTTATAATAGTTGTTACACTTTTATTGCCAGAAATATCACACATCAGATGTTTCATTTAGGATATACAAAACAGAATCTTTATACTTCATATAACTTGCTTCAAAGGTATTGACCATATTTTCTTCCTAACAATTTCCAGGTTCACTACATTTTTTAAAAATATGTTTTTATTGGTTTTAGAGTGAGAGGAAGGAAGAGGGACAGGGAGAGAAAAAGAGAAAATGGGAGAGGAAGGCAAGAGAGGGAAAGAGAGAGAGAGGGACAGGGAAAGAAATCAATGTGAGAGAGACACATGGAGTGGCTGCCTCCTGCACCCACTCTTACCAGGGATTGAGCCCACAATCTGGGCTTGTGTCCCGATTGGGAACTGAACCAGCGACCTTTTGGTGCACGGGACTACTCTCAACCAACAGAGTCACACATTCTCAAGGATAAGATCTATCTACTAGAACACTGCATAAACAATCTGGATGCCAGTACAGAGGGCTGAGAGAGATCTGAAACGGGGGGAAAGGCAGGAAAACTTCAACTCTTTTTGCAATGCTTTAAGAGGAAAGGTATGGACCGGAAGCAAATTGTCAATGTTGACATGAGTTCATTCTGGGTGGTGCATATAAGATTGTTGTATTGTTCTCTGTTTTATGATACTTCCATTCCCCGCCTCCCCCATAAAAATTTCTGAATTAACAACCAAAAGATATATAAAAAGCAATTAATTCAGAAACAATTTCACCTGTCACTTATATCTATTTTCTATTATATTTGCATTGCACTCATACACGTGGAATTTTTTTATTTAACGAAGTTCACTGCTTTGGGGTACTTAATTTCTGTGTGAAATTAACCTTATTTCAAAGCACCACTGTTGCTTGTTAGAGGAATGACGGATACTACAGAAGGCGGTGACTCACTCCTTGGAGTGGGATTTTGCTAAAGGCAAGGACAAAGCTCTAGACACAGACAATAGTGTGTGTGTCTGGGAGGGAGGGAGGCCTGGAGGTGGGAGGAGTGGTGTGGAAGGGGTCAATGGGGGGGGGGGGGCGGGGAGGGAAAACATCTGTAATACTTTCAACAATAAAGATAAATCTTACAAACAGAACAAAGCTTTATACCTTTTGGTGGGAATAAATTATAGCTTCATACAAATGCACTTACTAATAAATCAAAGAGGAAATTAAGGGCAGTAAATCTATGACCCAAATGCAGACTAGTTTAATGGGATGCTTTTCAGAGATTTTCAAGGAGTGCCAGCAAATCCCTTTAGATTTGCAGCAATGAACAAAATGCTGTGTGGTGCTTAACCATCAAAATACACACGTATGTGTTTATTCTTCAGAGGGAAACTTGCTGCTTACACAAAATAACCTCAGAGGCAAGGAGAGAGGAAAATAGCAAAGACAGAGTAAGGAAATGAATAATTAATTTAAAATTCATTTTTTGCAGATAGAAGCAAAAGCCATTCAAATGATTAAAAGAAAACACACACACACACACACATCAGTGTGATATTTGGTTCCAATAAAATAAATTGAAAAAAATCCTTGAGTGGTTCCAAATGACTGTAGGTTTATATTGTAGTTAAGACCCTAGTTCTGGACACCATTCTAATTTCTCACAGAGTAATTTATACTTTGAAATATCTTACTAATTTAAGCGGATCAAGTGTTATAATCCTTTTACATTCTTGTCCATTTTCCTATTGCTTTATTTTGACACTCTTTTCTTTACTATTTTCCCATTAATTTGCTGGCATAAGCAGCTGATAAATTGTTTTTTTTGTCACTGCTGCTTGTTGGCTATTTTAGTCAGAAACTTGTCTGTAATTCTCCAACTCCCAGAAATACAACAACTGTGTTCTACTTTATATCTATAGTTTTGTCTTCACCAAACAGGAGGCTGGGCTCCGCATTACTAACTTCCAGTAAAATGGCATCTCTGGTTATTTTGGTATTGGGTGACAGTTTAGAGAAATAACTGCACTGGATTCTGTGAAGACTTAAAGTGCCAGGAGGCTTAGGCATCTGTCCTTAGAAAATTACCACGTTAACTCCCTGCTTGGTACAAGCCCCAGACTGGAATGGGTTCACTGTGATATAGAAATACCACAAAGGTCCAATGTGACCCATATCATCTTAGTGCAGGTCAAAACTAAGTTGCATAGTTTTTCTTTGGGGGAGACAACATGGGGGGGTAGGGAGTGAGCTGGAGGGAAAAATGATCTGGATTTAAGCTCTGAGACTCCCTGCATAACTCTGGACAAGTAACTAAACCTCTGCAAAATATGAGTTAGGGTCCTCACTGGGTACATGCAAGCATGTATGTGAAAGTCACATACATGAAGTGTCTAGCAGGCATCTACTAAACATTAACTTCCTTCCCTTATAGTAACAGGGTCTTTTGGCTCTACCTTTAAAATAGTAAAAAAACAAAGACAAAATAACCCATACCGATTAGTGTCTCAGTCCACCGTTAATCATTTCGGTGCCTGTCATGCCTGATCTCTGATTTGCTCACTTTGGAGCCCCCTGATTTTTATAATCACAGAGTTCAAGGGGGTCTAAAATATTATCCAGGCTTCTAAGCAGGACCCTCCCTAATTTCACAGATATATCACTTTTAATCCATTCAAATGATTAAAAGAAAACACACACACACACACATCAGTGTGATATTTGGTTCCAAATGACTGTGGGTTTATATTGTAGTTAAGACCCTAGTTCTGGAAACCATTCTAATTTCTCACAAAATAATTTATACTTTGAAATATCTTACTAACTTAAGGGGATCAAGTGTTATAAGCTATTTACATTCTTATCCATTTTTCCATTGCTTTATTTTGACACTCTTTTCTTTACTATTTTCCCATTAATTTGCAGATTCCTAAGTGATCTGCAAACTTTGACCTACTTAGTTAGGTCCAAGAATCTCTAAAGGGACTTAAAATCACCACTGGTAATGCACGACATTCATTCAAAGTCCTTACAAACAAATTCCTACTGTCTGAATGATGCACTGAAGGGCCTTTCGCTCTTTACTCTGTGACTATGGTACATTACAGGCCTATCATACAACATTCCCTGAAATATGAGAACTGTAACCATATTCCTTCCATCAGGATTCTTTCCAGGAAAACAAAGTATTTTCACTGTTTATCAAAGCCATCTATGTGTTAGTTAATACAAACTCACAACACAGCTTAATAGTAGGAAAAGAAAATGGTTTGGAGGGTCCGCTGCATATAATTATTTGCTATGGGGACCCTAGACAAGTTACTGAAACTCTCTGAGTTTAATTTTTTACATCTATAAATGAGTATATTATCATATAAAAATGTATATTTAAAGAATTAAATAATGCCCTAGCTGGTTTTTCCCAGTGGTTAGAGCACCAGCCCTTGGACTGACAGGTCCCGGGTTCAATTCCAGTCAAGGGCATGTACCTCAGTTGCAGGCTCAATCCCCGACGATGGTCAGGGCACAGGCGTGATACAACCAATCGATGTGAGAAAGACATCTTACATCAATGTTTCTCTCTCTCTGTTTCTCCCCCTCCCTTCCCTCACTCTAAAAAAAAATAAAATAAAATAAGATAAATTGAAAAATATCCTTGAGTGAGGACTAACATACATACATACATACATACATACATAAAATAATGTAAGACATTCAAAATAGTCACTATTGTCATCTCAGTAAAATAAAAAGGCTAAAAAGGAAAAGAAACATACATACCATATTCACTGCATCTTGATCAAAAGGGTTCCACTCTATATTCTGAGGATAGTGGGCCAGAACCTTGGATTTGAATGTTCTTCTCAAAGGACTCTGGTCAAAATTTTCACCTATATCAAATAACAATTAGTTAACATCTAGAATTTCCTCAAAAGCATGCCATAGCTTTAGTTTTATTTTGTAGCCATACTGACTGATGATGCTGAAATCTAATTCAATTTCTACTTCTAACAGTCTGCACCGTAAAATTCTCAATGGACAAATGAAAAAACAACAACCAACCACCTGTAATGAAAGGTCTGCATTGAAGACTTTAGATTCTGAATTTTAAAATCCTGGCTAGACAACTGATACTAAAAGTCAGATATGATATAATCCTTGCCGTAACCTAATTATTGTCCTCACTGCAATATGTAGTGATAAAAATATCTATTTGGAAACATTTAATTCATTAAAGAAACATCCTGAATTAAGCTGATCATACCTCTTACAATCCTGAAATTTTGTACATGGACAGACCCAATGCTATAGTACTCAAAAAAGGCAATGGGCTTAAATTTCCACAAAATTCTCTGGTAAACGTGACTGCATCTCCAGGCTTTTACAAGAATTAACAGAATTAGAAACATCATTACTGAGTTGTCTAGCTTAGTAGACAAAACACACTGAATACACTAAACCCTGAAAAGAAACAATCTATTCTAAGCCAAATTCATCACCTGTCAAAAATCTGGAAAGAAAAGTAGACTAGTCTTTGATTGTTATATATAAGAAAATTTAATAATAGCTGTCAGCTCAGTTTTTCGATCAAATTAAATCCCATGAGACCTGTTACCTACAAATGCCTTAGTTTCATAAACTATTTTAATGTGGATGGATCTTTAATTCTCAATGTCAAAAAGCTGATACTGAGAAAGTAGAAGACCTTGGAGTAACATTATTTTTTCTCCTGTGTTTTCTGTACTTTTAAAGTTTACTTTTTAAGCGCAAAACATGAGCTGTTATATCAAAAGATAAATGCCAGTTACCAGTATTTGTACCAGTAAAAATATCATAAAGCAACTTATGAGTCACACTTGGACATGTAGTCAGACTCCGTTTCCATTTTTCATAAAAATATTAAGATATGAATATTAAAACACCTTTTAGTGCAAGACAGATCCCAGAAGGAGAAAAAGCACACTCTAAAACAAACATGTCAAACTCACCACAACAAATATTTTTGCAGCCCATTCAATATAATGGTATGTAAGAAATGTTTTAATAAAAATTTCGTAACTTAGTTTTTACAATATCCTGTTATACATAATTATTAATAACAAACTACAATGTTCGCTAATGACTAGATTACTATAATAGTGTTGCATTCATTTCCCTTACACGCCTTACGCACAGGCGCACCATTTCTCTCCACTAATACTAGCAGCGAATATTTTAGCAGCCGATGGCCACGTCATTAGTCTTGGACTGACTTGTTTGGTGTGTGCTACAGGAAATATTTCGCTTTCAGAGAACAAGAAAAATAGGTTTATTTGCGTTACGCTTATTAATTTGTGCAGTTATTCAGTGTCTGGTAAGTTAATGTTCAAGAAAAAATATTAATTTTTATTAAAATGTTCTATTATCTTATGTTAACGACTACTCATTTATTTCAGCCCTTTGTATTCAGCATGTCTCTATCAAAATAAACCTACGTTTCTATGAAAATTGAAGCTTTTGTTTTTTTTGCGGCCCACATAAACTTAAACCTTGTTTATTTGGCCCGTGTTACCCTTTGAGTTTGACATGCTTGCTCTAAAATCTTCCTGGAGATTGCAATATAGTATCCAAGAGCTTTTTTGAATAAAGGCACATAATTTAAATAGACTTGCTGCAAGTAACCTACTGTTTCTAATTTGAACCCTTGGCTAATGATCATTTTCCTTTGGGTTTGTTCCTCTTACTTATTTAGGCCAGCATTTCATCTTCCTACCCCATGTTTCCATCTTTTAAGAGATGGAGTAGAGAGTTTTCACTTCAAGAAGACAAAGGTCAAAGGCATCCCTAAGGCAAGTTACCCATTTTTGCACCATGCTTCTAAGGGTCTGTAAACATCAAAAAGTCCACGGGAAATAGTCCATGAGTCAATGTGTCTGAAGAAAAGAGTTAGGGCTCAGAATGGTTTATTTCGGGAGGATGAATGCCATCTTTAAGCTAATACTACATTCTAGATTAGTCACTTCTTCATTTTAAAAAAAAGGTTACTTTTTACTTCACCTCAAGTCAGAGAAAAAAATAAAACAGACACTTTCTCCTGGTTCTAAAGGTGTATCTGCTGACTGTGCTATTGACACAGCAACAGGATAGCCTCAGAAATATACAGCCACCAAGAAACGCTCTCCTTCGCCCACCCTCAAATTCCCAAAATGCTTGTTTTTATTATCCGTGAATGTAAATAAAATATGAAACACTGTGGGGCATAAGAAACAGCACATTCGCAGGACAGAACTCCTTGAAACACTTACCTTTTAATGATTCCTGCCCGAGTTCAGTTAAAATAGTAACATTATCCTCATTCATATATGAAGTTATTAATGGGACAAAAGATAAATCAGAAAAGTCACGACAGTGCCATTTTCAATATAATTGTTCTGCTCACTAAGGAACACCACACCCTCTTGAGGCCCAATTAATCACCAGAAGAGAGAGAAGGAAAACCACCTCCAGAGAGAAAAAATTTCACAAAAACAAAACCCAAAAAACTCATGAAACAGAAACCCAAATCTAACAAAAGAAAAACAGAATCATCGCCATCATCATCACGACCACCACCACCACCACCACCACCACCACCACCACCACCTCTCATTAGATTGCCCAAAAGGGGGTGGGGACAATAGGAAAGATCATTGCTATATAAACAGCTGTCTTGGCAAATATTATTTTGAAGGAAATTAGGGGAATAAACAACTACGGAGAAATTCTGGTGACACTGTTAAGGATTTAGAAATGAGTGGGTTCAGCTATTCCTACTAGTACCAGTCAGAGAAGCAAACCTGGAGATGCCTTTTGGAGATGTGAGATAGGGGAATAACCTTATCTTCCCATTTGGAGCCCAGGTTTCAATAAACCTCTAACTTAGAATCTATTACTAGGACTTAGCAGGAGAAATGAGTCAGTCTAAGAATTTGGATTCCCAGGAACTAGAAATTATATGTAAGCATCCTTGACTTAACTTAAAATCCACCTTCAAACATTATCCTGAAATGAACAAGGATTGTAAATTTGTGCAAATATTAATACCCCCCACTACAACTACATAAAGACTTAATTTCAAGTAATCTCCTCCTAAACCTAGCTGCAATTAAGCTTTTCCCCCTAAAAAATAGGACATATCTGCCAAGAGAGCTTACAGGCTCATGAATAATTTTTTTCAAGGTTTGAAGCAAAGGCAATCTTCAAAAAAAAATTAAGATGCAGAAGAAAGAATAGAAATACAAAACAATACCTATTTTTTGCCTGAGCAAAACTGAATAAACAAACAATTACGATGGGCTTGGGTGAATTAAAATAATGATTTCTAACACCTCCACTTTTTATTTTTACCTGAGGTCGTATTTGCAGCATCTTGGCTCCTGCCATGACGATCTGCTTCTAGCCATTGGTACAAAACTACATAATGTAACAGAAACAAAAAAGCTTTATGAACAAACAAAAAAGCAAAAAATTTGACTGTGAAGAATGGAAAATGAAAATAAAAAAATTAAACAAAAGCAATCAACATGAAACATCAACATCAATGGAATATAATGTCACACTAATAGTATGCAGCTTATAAGCTAGTAATAAGAAAGGAAAGAGAATAGGTAATTATATTTTACTAGAGGCCCGATGACAAAATTTGTCCAAGGGCCTTGGTCCCAGCCCCCGCCCACTGCCGCCGTGAGCCTCTGCGGCCTCTGCCGCCTCTGCCTCGGCCCCCGCCTGCTGTGGCTTTGTTCGGAAGGATGTCCGGTCTAATTAGCATATTACGCTTTTATTATTATAGATTGTTATAAGTGAAATGCTATTTAAACATCTATAACTGTTATTCAAATGGGGAAAAGCACACATTCTTTTCTTAATGGTAATTTGAAGAGAAATATCAGGAGAAAGCTTATGTTTCTACTACAAGCCCGGTGCATGAATTTGTACATGGGTGGGGTCCAGCCAGCCTGCCCTGATTGGGGTGATCAGGCTGGGCCAGCCGGCGGGGTGGGGGGAGAGGGGCTGTGGGCAGTTAGCTGGCTGGCTCCGGCCCCGATCAGGGTGGGGGGGGCCAATCGGGGGTGAAACCGGCTGGGGGGAGGGGCCACGGGCAGTTGGCCAGCCGGCTCCGCCCCCTGGTCGAATTCCCAGTCGAACTCCTGGTCGAGGGGACAATTTGCATATTAACCTTTTATTATATAGGACTAGAGGCCCGGTGCATGAATTCGTGCACAGGTGGGGTCCGGCCAGCACACCCAGATTGGGGCCGAGCAGGCCGTGGGGAGGGGACGCGGGAGGTTGGTGGGCCGCCCTCACCCCCTGGTCGAATGGTCAAACTCCTGGTCCAGGGGACAATCTGCATATTACCCTTTTATTATGTAGGATAGTCAGAGATAACAAAATATGATAGTATGACTAAGTTAAAAATTATATCCCAACCTCTACACACCTATCAGAATGGCTGCAGTCCAAAAAACTGACTCGCTGACAAGTATACAAGTGACAGAACTCTCATAAATTGCTGGTGAAAATGCAAAATGGTACTCAGCCACTTTGGAAGACAGTTTGGCAGCTTCTTACAAGGCTAAACATAGTCTCATCATATGATCCTACAGCCTCAGTATAATCTGGAGAAAAACATCAAATTCCAAGAGGAGAAATCTACAATCTACCTCATGAATACTTGTCAAAACTGTCATGATTATCAAAGACAAGGCAAGTCTGGGAAACTGTCATAGCCAAGAGGAGTCTCGGAGACATGACGACTGACTGAGTGCGGCACATTGGCTGGGATCCTCCAACACAGAAAGGACACTAAGTAAACACTAAGGAAATCTGAACAGAGTACAGACCTTAGTTAATACTGTATCAAAATCGATTAATTAATTGTAACACACGCATCATACTGCTAGAAGATGCTAACGACAGGGAAAACTACATGTGTGGACGAGGGGTGAGGGGTGTAGGAAATATGTACTATCTCCGTTTTTCTGTAAATCTAAGACTGCTCTGGAAATCACATCTGTTTTAAAAATTACATTCTAACACTTCAGGTAAGGACAGAAACATATAAGTATATTCGATATTATAAGAAGTCTACCTTCTGTAAATCACTATGCAAGCATAAGCTGAAGTTTGCTCTGTACCAAGATTCCACTTTAATCAACTCTCCTCATAAGCACTTTCTATGAAGAAGTGACAACTTTGGGAGGAAAGTTTACTAGAGTGAGGACCAGGCTATGAAAGAATCCACACCAGAGCTCGATAACTGAGCGGCGCTAAAGAGTGTGAGGGCAGGATTGGGGGGGTGAGAGGACATTGGGGGGATAAGGACACATTTGTAATATCTTAATTAATAAAGGGAAAATAAATTAAAACAAAAACAAAAACAAAAAACCCTTCTGGACGCCAGGCTGATGCAGCTCAGCGGTGCAGCGGCGACCCAGGAGGCCACTCACTGGTTGATTCCCAGTCAGGGCACATGCCGGGGCTGCAGGCTCAGTCCCCTGTGAGGGGCGTGCAGGAGGCAGCTGATCGATGATGTTTCTCTCTCATCGATATTTCTCTCTTTAGCCCTCTCCCTTCCTCTCTAAAAAAAAAAAAAATCAATGAAAACGTGTTTAAAAAAACTGAGGGGGGGCGGGCTGGAAGGGGTCAATGGGGGGAGGGGGACACATAATACTTTCAACCATTAAGATTAAAAAAAAACAACAAAGAAAAAAAACCTTCTGGATGTTTTTATGGGTTACCTAAATGTCTACAGCTTTTAGTCATCTTTGCTGAGATGTCAGTCTCCTTTAAAGAGTCCAACAATGCAGGGTCCTCAAGGCTGGGGGAAGCTGCCTACGGGCTCCGGAACTGACGGAGTAAAGAAAAGACTAAAAGCACCCTGAAGTCACCAAGGAGGTTATTTGGATCCTTAGGGACAGTCAACTGACCTCCACCATCAGGGACAGAGGCCCAAAGCAGACAGACCTGGGAACAGCCCCACACATCCCCCGTGTGACGTCCCTGGCTGAGGGGGCCCTGTGGCACACAAAGTCATCTCCTCCAGGACTCTGCACTCCTCTGGGAGGCAAACAACTGGTACTGGTACTGGCATGAAAGAATTCAAGAAGCACCGCACTCATTAAATATACAGTACAGGTGTTTCCTCTTTCTAGTTTGCAGGAATAATGACTACTCGTTAGAGGAGAGCGGAGTAGTATTAGAACATGACACAAAAATCTCCCCATTTGGCCCCAGCTGGTTTGGCTTACTAATAGTGGATAGAGTGTCCACCTGTGGACGGCAGGGTCCCAGGTTCGATTCCAGTCAAGGGCACATGCCCCGGTTGCGGGCTCAATCCTCAATGTGCGGTGTGCAGGAGGCAGCCAATCAATGATTCTCTCTTATCATCGATGCTTTTATTTCTCTCCCTTTCCCTTTCTCTCTGAAATCAATTAAAAAATATTTTTTAAAAAATCTCCCCGTTTGGAAAAGCAAGCATCACTCTCACAAAAATGAGACATAAAGTAGGGAAAATAACCCACTAACCGGTCTAACAGAACAGGCTCTCATCTGAAACCCACTGGGCCCTGTTAAGGGGAAAACTCCTGGCTGTGTTCAGGGTATCACTAGGAATATTACCATTCGTTCCAATTACTTCAAAGAGCCCTTGTTTCTGATTTCATCAGAGAAAAAGAAAAAAGAATAATAATGAAAGTTGTTCCAGGTCCATCTGCTCTGACCAGTGATACAGAGAATTGTAAGCAATGACGTTCGAATGCCGAGCATACCCCTCTCCTCACTGTGGCTGGGAGCATGAGATCTGGCCTTTTGGTGGCTCCATGCTTCCTCTCAACTGGCACTGGGAGTGGGACCCGACCCCAGCTCCCAGCTCCTAGCTCCTAGCCGCTGCTGAGGGTTTCTATAGCCTGTGCGTGAGGCCGCAGGTAGAGAGGGATCTGTGAGATGAGTGAACTTGGAGCTGCTTCTCAGTCAGGCGGCCCTGCTACAGATTTCTTCACTTACCTCCTCTCCGAGCCTTCTCACCCCTAGGGCCCCAGTGAGTTCCACCACAGACTTCTGCCGCCGTGCTTCTCTACAAAGAAAGGTCAAGTCTCACGATATTTCCCTACCTGCCTGTCCCTGAAGGATACCACAGAAGCCTAGATGTTTTCTAAAAAGTTTGCTGATAGAAAGAAAAAGAAAATAGATGGGAAGTTTTAAAAGGTAATTAATCTCTTCTGCCCTGTCCCTTTTTCATTTTGCTCCTTTTCTCTCTAAAAGGGAAGTTAAAACACATACAAAACAACACACACACACACACACACACACACACACGTAATAAGGGGTGGACAAAATATTCAGAGTGAAAATGTTTCCCCAGCACTTTGATAAAGGCGAGGGGAGGAAATGGAGAGCTCTGGATGCTGCCCATGAAGTCCATGCTGAGGGGGAAGGGAGAGGATGTGGTGGTGAGGTAACTCTTCTCCTTTGTATGTCTACCCACACAGGTTTGCAAACACTCAGCCTGAACTGGCATGAGCTGGAGTTGGGAGACAAAATACTGAACAGCAGTGAGTCCTCTAAGACAGATTGACTAGGGAAAGAGAAATGGGGAGGCATGCGGAAGGTTACAGGTTGGAAACTAAAATGAAGGGGCATGACTGTGCATTCACCTGTACATGAGTCGTCCTTATATCACAGTGGGCTGTCCTCTTCCAAGCAGATCCCCCCAGAGGCACACTTATCATTTATTCTGATGATTCTGGCACTATTTTTTAAATATATTTTATTGATTTTTTTTACAGAGAGGAAGGGAGAGGGACAGTTAGAAACATCGATGAGAGAGAAACATCAATCAGCTGCCTCCTGCACACCTCCTACTGGGGATGTGCCCACAAACAAGGTACATGCCCTTGACCGGAATCGAACCTGGGACCTTTCAGTCCGCAGGCCAACTCTCTATCCACTGAGCCAAACCAATTAGGGCTTCTGGCACTATTTAACTCATCGCTGAGCAGGCAGCATGGAAGTAGAGGCCTGATAATCACCATCCCAGCTAACACATAGAGTTTACTATATGGCATTGTTATTCCACGTGCTCTACATATATCAGCTCATTCCATCATCATAATTATTTGATGAAATAGGTACTATTATTGTCCTCAGATACAGAAACGGAGGCACAATAAGTTTAACTAATTTATCCAATGGTAGACAACTAGAAAATTCAAACCTAAGCAATCTGACTCCAGAATTTGTGCTCTTAATTCTACATATGAGGTCATCTTGGGAAAAGATATTTCAGGCAGAGGGAGAAGCAAGTGCAGAATCCCTGAGGCAGAGATGAGCTTGTCATGGTTGAGAAGCAGCAAGAGGCAAGCGCAGAAGATGTCAGAGAGGCGGCCAGGAGTCAGATAAACAGGCGCCTTGGAATG